TTTTTGAAAAGGTTTTAAAGAGAAAATAAACCCGAAGGCAAAAAGGTTTAAATTTGTTGAAGTGCTTTGTTGGGAGATGCATCAAATGGTCTCTCAAGGCTAGGGGTATTTGAGTATTCCGCCTTTAATTTTGAAATGATTTGAGATACGTATTATACTAATGACTATGAAATGAGGACGAATATTTTGTACGAATGAGCCAATCATCTCATGTACAAAATACTCTAAGAATAGGTAAGGAAGACTCTCGCTCATCTTTCCCCATTTTCTTAAGGCTCATGGCGTATTATATGTATCGTATTTGTTAAGTATTTTGAATTTTATTAAGAAAAGGGATTTTTGTCTCTTAAGAGAAAAGAAATGCAAAGTAATGCAAGAGAAAGAAAAAAGCACAGAGGGAACTCAATCCTAATTGTTGTCATGCATTGATGGATCTAAGGTTGAGCTTAAGGGAAACTCTAACCTAATGTTGTCATACTTGGATCAACACCTAATGTCTAACTGTGATTCAATTTAATCAATGGATAAAATTGAATCAAGAAAGACCTAAAGGAGCATGGATCAACAATCACACAAGCAAGAAATCAATTATCAATCATCAAGCATCAAGATTCACACAAAATCCACACAAGCTATTATCAAGAACATGGCACATTTAAGAACCAAAACAAACACAAAATGAAACAAATAAAATCACAAAGATCAAAATAAAACGCCAAAAATAATATTCTAAAATTAACATGCATTTCTCTATTTTTTAATCATTTTCACTATTAAAAATCATGAAATAAAAATAAAATAAATATCAAATAAAATAAAATAGAAAATAAAACAAAAATATCAAAACACAGAGTGCGTGCCTAATATGACATGTTTGGAGAAGTAAACAGATCCAGGCCCAATGCAGTGGTACAATAGTGTTTTTTCTGGAACAAAGCAATCTGTTTAAACAAAAAAGTTGGTGTATGGGCTTGAGGAAGGTGTACATAACAACCATGGACCAGGCCCAGCGTAAACAGATCCATCTAAATATTTTTTCAAATATTTTCTGATTATAATTACTATTAAAAAAACAAAATTAAACCAAATCATGAAACACAGCGTTTAGGTTCCAAATATGTTTCAAAATTTCAAATCCTCGCGCCAAACCATCATCTTCTTCTTCATCAGTTCACCACCGAGCCGACTCGCCACAAGGTGGCGGCCACGGTGGTTTTCTTACCAGAAATCACAAACTTTTACATCGTTCCCTTCAGTTTTCCACGTAGATTCACAAAATCACATTCGTTTTAACAGATTCAAATGCAAATGCAAGCAATCTGGAAATCACACAGAAACCATAGGTATTTCAAAACAAAATAAAATAATGCTCATCCATAATCAATGCCTATATACATAGGGCTTCAACACAACACAATTCAAGCTTCCTACTGGTAACAAGAATGAGCGAAAATGATGCAGAAACAATAGAGTTCGAAGTGTTTAAGAATTACCTATCGGAGTATGTCTGATGCAGCTTTAACAATGGATAATATGAACAGAAAATGATCCAGAAAGCTTTGGAGAAGTTCCAGGTAAGTGAATGATCCTTCATTTTGGCTTGATTCGTTCTGTATTTTTCAATCCATCTCCATTTGCTTCGTGAATAATTCAGTTGAACAGAGTGAATTAGAGATCGCTGAAAGCTTAGGAATGCTTGATGAAGCTTCAGTATAGCACGTAGATGAAGAATAGGTCACGAAATCTCAGATAAAACCATTGGAAAGTTGAATTCAAAGTGAGAGAATTTTGAGAGAACTTTGTGATTTCTATCTGAAAAACTGGTGAGTGAATGAACAATTTGGAGGGAAAGAGCTTATAAAGGACTCAGGTTTGGAGCTGAATTAAGCTTGGGATTAGGTCTGGAGCAAAGGCAAGGCTTGGAGTTTGTTAAATTTTGGTTTGGAGTTTTTTGAAACTCAATTTGTGAACATTGTGCAGGCACAGTTTGTTCTGTTTGGATTGTTTGCAAGCATTGTGAACTGTTTGTGTCTACTTTGATGCTAGCTAATGTACGGTTTGTAGCAGCTGGTGCAGAGCATGAATTATCCCTTTTTGGCAATGCTCCACATATGATCTATGGTAAGCTCTTGGTTCGATTTTTGGCATAAATTTGGAGTTGTCTTGATCAAAGCTTTGGTCCTATTGCATCACACTTTATGGAACTGTTTTTGACAGGTCTTAATTCCATTCATAGCATGGTTTTGGCTTGGATTTTGGATTGAATTATGGAAAAGTTTTGGACTATTTTGTTGCAAAGTTTTGGACAGATTTTGAATTGTCTTGAATGTGTCATGGAATGTGTTTTAGGCTTAACAAAATGATGGACATTGGTTGTAAATTTGAATGATGATGAATGATATAGAATTTGAATGATGAATGGTGAATGTATTTGAACTTGAATTTTAACTTTGAAACTTGAATGAATGATGGTGAACTTAATAAATATTTGGATTTGAAACCTTGAGTAATGATGCATGCCTTGAATATTGTAACTTATTTTCCTATAAATCCACATGAACTTTCCAATCTTGCATGAACCAAATATTGGTCCAATAAACTAATCTTGAATAATGTTTGAACTCATAGCATTGTGAAAAACTTGAATGAATACTTCCACATGAATATTCAATTCAATGCAACCCTAAATTCAATGCTCAAACCACAAGTAACTTGCATTACAAGCAACAAGCAATTGAAAGAATAATAATGCCTTGATCACAATGAATCTTCAAACTCATATCTTGTACATTAATCAACAAATATATCTTGAATTGATGAAGTCCTTATTCCATTGATGAACTTAACACAAAAGTAATGCCTTGGGGAATCCCTTGAAAATGAATATGGAAATATGAAAAACTTATAACTAAAATAGCCTTGGCTTGAACCCTAATCAATCACTTTGAGATGAACATTGAGTGAAGAAGTAGCTTGAGATGTTGAAAGGAACCAAACCCTAGTTCAAAGCACTCTCAATGAAAGCATTGATGAAACTCTAAACACGCACAAGTGTTAAACCTAATGCACTTGGTTTTTGAGAAATCTTGATGAAGATGACTTTGTAGCTTGATGAATCCTGACAAGAAAGATATTCATGATGATATGAATCCAAACCCTAGCTTAAATTTGAGTGAAGTAGAAACCTCAAATCATAGGGAAAACCTTAATTCAAAGAATTCCTTGATCCCATGCCTTAGGAGCTAATGAATATGTATGTTTATAGTGTCAGGCCTAATGGAAAATGCATATGAATGTGAAGCACAAGCCAATTAGGGTTAAGAGAATGAGGGAAAATATTGGGGTACAATAGGTTCCCATATTTAATCATCTTAAATCTGAAGGTATGAGGAGCAACAGTTTTCAAATATTCGAGGTAGAAGAAGATTAAATACTAAAAGAACCATAAAATTTGCTCTGTGGGGAATAAAGAATGATGTAGTGATGTTTTTAGTAGTTTATTTATTTTTTGATGTATGTATGATATCCCATAAGGATTTCCAAGAGATATTTTGATTGTGTACCAACTGATGTTGGACTTTGAAGAGGTGTCAGCCGAAGGTGGACTTAAAAAGAAATGTGCTAGCCAAATATGGTCTTAAAAGGGGTGTCAGCCGAAAGTGGACTTTAAAAGAAAGCTACCAACCGAAGGTGGACTTTAAAAGAGAGGTGTCAGCCAAAGGTGGACTTTAAAAGAGAGGTGTCAACCGAAGGTGGACTTAAAAGGGGTGTCAGCCGAAGGTGGACTTTAAAAAGGAAGGTGCCACCCAAAGATTGACTTTAAAAGAAAGGTTCCAACCGAAGGTGGAATTAAAAGGGGGTTTCAGTGTAAAGTGAACTTAAAAAAAAGAAATATCAACCGAAGGTAGATTTAAAAAGAACGTCAGCCAAAGGTGGACTTAAAAAAAGAAATACCAATCAAACATGGATTTAAAAAGGACCAGTGTCAAAGATGGACTTACAAAAAAATGATATACTAGCCAAAGGTGGATTTTAAAAGAATGTCAGCTGAAGGTGGACTTAGAAAAAAGAAATAACATTCGAAGGATGATTTAAAAAGGACGTCAGTTAAAGATGGACTTACAAAAAAGAAATACCACTCAAATGTGGATTTAAAAAGCACTCCAACCGAAGGTGGACTTACAAAAAAAATAATATACCAATCGAAGGTGGATTTTAAAAGAATGCTTGCTGAAGGTGGACTTAAAAGGGTTCGAGCCGAAGATGGACTTAAAAGGGTTACTAACCAAAGTTGGACTTCAAAATGTTACCAACAGAAGTTAGGCTTCAAGAGGGTTGTTGGGTATTTGAAAAAAAACAAAATAACTACATTGAATCCCTCGGGTCAAAGCATGGTGTAATTTCTCAAGAGTGGAAACTATCTGAACTACCACACACAACGTAAGGCGTTCAAAACAACTGAGAAGAAAAACCGGCCATATGGCGACTCTATACTTCCTCACTCTTGACACGAAGAGAAAATACGGGTAATATTCTCGTGCAAAAGGCCGATAAAACCTGCAAAAGGTGAGTTAGATGGTAGACTTTAAGGAAATCTGTTGGGAATACCACTGGGATATTTTGTGGAGGTTATATTCTCTTCTGGTAGATATATCTAGATTGCGCTTTCGAGAAATGCCTAAATTGGCTTATGCTTCGTGTGTATGTTTGAATTTTCTATCGCGTAATGCTCTACCTTGATGGAAATGCTACATGTTTTGGTAGATGCAATGTAATAATATGATTACTATATGAAAGAATGTATGATTGTAAACTCTACTTGGGAATACGCAGAAGATATCCAATAACTCTGCTGAGGAAATAATTATGATGATTTGATTCTCGATGGGGAATAACAAACTGGATTGCCAATAACAATTTGGCTGCGAACCCCGTAGGGAGATACTAATTAAGACTGAGTTTTAACTTGTTAAGGATGCTAATAAATATTGAACTTTGACATGCGGGGAAGAGAAAAATCTGATTTCCCACCGCCTTCAAATTGCTTGGGGATATTCCATCATCTTATGCTGCTGGGGGTGAGAAATCCTCACAGAAACCTTTATAATAAAAAACCTCTGCTGGAGAATGATTCTCTACTTAGGGAGAAGAAATCTTCTGGAAACTTCACTGGGGAAAAGAAAACCAAAGAACCTATACTTGGGGAAAACCGTAGTAACTATCCTGACAAATCTGGATTGACCTTGGTAATGATCTAGTACCTCAAGTTTACTGTGCTAGTAAAATGCATAATGATTATCATGAGTGAACGATAATTCCTGCAATTAGGTCAAGGTAACCTAAAACCTTTTCCCTAGATATGGTATTGGTAACCATGTCTATCTCTCAGGACACTCAAAATCTTCAAATTTTTTAATCATGCTTTGTGATCCTCAAAGTTTTTAAATGCAACGTTTATAAAAATATCAGACATTTTGCAAACAAGCAGTAAAGATAAAAACAAAGAGGAAAGATTATGGATAAAAAAGAAATTCTTTTATTGAAATTGGCCTGTAAATAGGCATTTACACCAAGAAGCAATTCCTAAAAATAGGTAATTGTGCAAAAAAGCAAAGAAAGTACATGATGGCAATGAGAAACGTTCAGATTTCCATCGAGTTTTGATTCTTCTCTGACCCTTATGTCTTCGAAGATCTCAATACTTTTCTTCTTAAAATAATTATGAGATTGATTCCTACCCTTCGGGGTTTCGAACTGTTGTAGTGGAATCCACAGGCTTTACGCAGACTACAACCTCTTGCTTTCAAATCCCAAACTTTTTCCTGGAACGCTCTTTTGAGTTTTTAGTCTACCGGGATACCCTTTTTTGCCTAAGTTGCCCTTTTGGGTTTTCAACTTAGCGTGTTATTCATTTCTTTTTATTTATTTATTTTATCCCTAATTTTTTCTTCTAAGGATGGCAATTGGACTGCCCCCTTCCATTTGAGTTATATAATGGTGCAAGCTTGCATGTGGTAGTCTCATGTCTTTGGATATTCCCTAACTTTTTCTGAACCGCTCCTTGGAGTTTCAGTTCACCAAGAGATTTTTCCCTCTTTTTCTTAAGCTTCCCTTTCTGGTTTTTGATTTATCAGGCTTAATTCTATTTATCCCAAACTTTTTCCTGAGTTTCCTTCATAGGATTTCAATTCACCAGGATGGTCATTTTTTCCTAAGTCACCCTTTCAGGTTTTTGACTTAGAGTGCTTTATTATCCATCTCTTTTTGTTAGGCATAATACTTTCTGACTACGTCAGAGTTGACAAGATGTGTCAACTCTTCTCCATCCATGTTTGTTAGAACTAAAGCTCCACTAGAGAAATCTTTCTTCACCATATATGGTCTTTCGTAGTTGGAGATCCATTTTCTTCGAGGATCTTTCTAGAGGAAGATTATCTTGTTCAGCACCAAGTCACCTACTATGAACTCTCGAAGTCATAACTTTTTATCAAATGCCCTATTGAGTATTTTCTAATATAAATGGCCATGACACAACGCATTCATTCTATTCTCTTTGATCAGATTGAGTTGGTTAAACTTATTTTGCACCCATTCCACCTCTTATAGTTTAGTGTCAACCAGGACTCTCAAAGAGGGGATTTCAACTTCTATTGGGAGCACAACTTCCATTCCATAGGCTAGAAAGAAAGGGGTCTCCCCTATTGAAGTGCAGACTGAAGTTTTATACCCGTGCAACGTGAAAGGTACCATATCATGTTAGTCCTTGCAATTCCTCACCATCTTCTTGATAATCTTCTGGATGTTTTGGTTAGTTGCTTCTACAACACCATTCATTTTTGGCATGTAAGGTGATGAGTTATGATGTTCAATCTTGAAGTTATCGCATAACTCTTTCATCATCTTATTGTTCAGATTCGACCCGTTATCAGTGATAACTTTGTTGGGAGTGTCATAACAATAAATTATCTCCTTGTTAATAAATCGGGTGACTACTTGCTTTGTCACGTTTGCATAGGAAGCAACTTCTACCCACTTGGTGAAGTAATCAATGGCCACCAGGATGAAACAACGCCTATTTGAAGCTTTTGGTTTGATCATTCTAATCATGTTTATGCCCCACATGGAGAAAGGCCATGGCGTAGTCAATACATTCAGAGGATTAGGTGGCACGTGCACCTTATCAGCATAGATATGCCATTTGTGGCACGCCCTGGGATAAAGGATACAGTCACGATGTGTAGAGCACACCATCGCTTAAGAAAAAATTGGCAGACAATTTTCTCAAAGTCTTCTTTGTGATAGAAGCACTCTCTAAATATTCTTGTTTCTCGAGATATCACTTGATGTCATAGAACCACGACTTATCATCTATTTCTGCTTCAACTTCTAAGCAATGTGCTGGTTCATCCAGATGGTGAATTATTATGGAAAGATATTTTTTGGCCCACTTGACTTTGAACATAGACAACAAAGTAGCCAAGGAATCAACTATAGGATTATCTTCCCTGGGAAGGTGATGGAAAGTAATTTCATTAGAGTGTAGGATAAACTTCATGACGTACTCTAAGTATGGAATCAACGTAGGATGACAGGTCTCCTATCCTCAAGAATCTTGATTCTCAAATCAATAGCTGCTTCAATCCCAAAGATACATGCTTCATATTCTGCCATGTTATTGGTGCAGTCGAAACATAATCTTGTTGTGAAAGGAATACGATAACCTTTTGGAGAAGTGAGATCAACTCTAATTCCATGACCAAATTCATTTAAGGCACCATCAAACACGATCCTGGTTCCGATCCTTTTTCTAGGCCTGAAATCTCATAATCTCTTATGAACATAACATCTTCATCTGGGAAGTCACACCTCATTGGTTGATAGTCCTCTACTTACTGGTGTGCGAGGTATTCTGATAACACACTGAAATTTCTCTGGTATAGGTAACATATGGTAATACTAATTTTTCAACATCAGAACAATGTCAAGATAGATGTTACATCATCTGATTAGACCTGAATAGCTTTATCAAGTTATAATAAATACTAAAACTTAAACTACAAAATGATAAATAACACATAGAGTTGTTAACCCAGTTCGGTGCAACATCACCTACATCTGGGGGCTACCAAGCCAGGTAGCAAGTCCACTATCAGCAATATTAGTTCAAAGCTAAACAATCTCAGTTTACAACTTATCTTCTAATCCTTACCTAATGCAACTTCTACCTAGGCACCTCCTAGATATGACAAATCGCCATCTCACTTACTAAATCACCTCAGTGAGATCTAATAGTCCCAATCCTAGTGGTTGTATTGAGTATAACTCAACAAGAAGATCATACTTCTATTACAATATTTATCCAAGACTCTTGACTAAGAACAATACTCAGATTTTCTTAAGAGCTTCATCCAAAAACAATACACAACTCATTGCCTAAAGGCTTATGAGTGAGAACATTATGTCGGCCACAAGTATCAAAAGATACAAGGGTGACTTACATCACATAATACACAAAAGATTATAAAAACTTAAGACTATTTTTATTCCTCTAATTTTACAATTGTTAAAAGAAGTAGTTACATTAGGTAAGGTCTTCTCTTTAAATACACCTATGCAGTCCATGGTCTTTGAATTTTGCGTCCAGAAGTTTCTTGATCCATAAGTTGAGTGATGCACCAATTGTGCAAAAAAATATCCTTAAATCTTGGAACAACCAATACAAAGTTTCCTAAATTATTCCAAGGCCCAATATAGTAACTAATGTAAACCTGAAGATATAAAACCTGTTCCAAAATAAGTCTTCTTGACCTGCAAAATTTATTGAGATATATTCAAAAGGAATATCACATAATTCAATTAAATCTGTCAAGATTTAAAAATAACAGCGCATGCCTACTGTATAATAGAACAAGATGTCACAACATCTTGCTTTACATGTGTCCATAACCATGTTTTATAAAAATTATGCCAACCTCAAAGCCATGGAACTAACACACACTACCCATGATAGCTTTACGAGCCACATATTGAATGTCGTACTCTAACAACAACATCTACCAGCGAGCAATCCTTCCAGTTAATGTAGGCTTCTCGAAGATGTACTTGATCAGATCCATCTTAGATATCAACATTATTGTATGGTTGTAGCTGTAGAAATGTTGATACTAAGCCATTGAATTGACTTGACTCGCACGGATCAAATAAAAATCGCCACCGTACTTTATTGTTTCCAAAGGAATGGGAAAAGAGAGAATAACTCAAAAAAGAGGGGGAGAGAATCTAAGTTAGGGAGTTGGTTATGCAAAAGGGAAGGTATTAGCACCCTAAACATCTATGGTACTTCGCAGGAACCTCTTTGAAAATTTGTGTATTTTGGCTATAAGTGTTGTATACAAAAATAGATGGTGGTGGTGAGAAAATAAGTATTTTTTTACAATTTTTACACCCGTCGCGGTTGCGAACCTTTAGTGCCTATGTACCACCTTCCGTGCAATAGTGGATAAGGATACTCGTAGTTCACCTTTAAAAATTTTAAAACACAAATGTGTTGGTTAATTTTAAGAGACGAGACATCATCGTCGTATCTGAGTGGAAGAACATACTTACTACCCACGACTATGAGAAAGGAGAATTTGCGTCATCTCAAAGTGGAGGATATAGCTTAGATTTTAAAATCAACAAAGATTCACTCAACACCCAAGTGGAAAATGTCTCACTTCACTACATATCGTAGAAGTATAGTAGCTCGCATCACTACAAGGATTGACAAGAGTCTAATATTTTGAGAAATATGTTAAAGTAAAAATCCAAAATGGCAAAAATGGTTTGAATGAGATTGATTGACTTTTAATCTTCTCATAAAAAATGTCAAAGTATGATTAAGTTGGTTAAAATTTGATTAAGAAAATGATTTTTTGAAAATACATGGACCTAAGTTCAAGTGTATTATGAAAGCGATTCAAGTTTAAAAACAAGAAGAGTTTTCAAAAGGAGGGAGAAGATTTTTGAAATTAAAGAAGATGGGAGGATATGAAGGGGTTATCCTAAAGCATAAGGTAGAAGCTAGGGAAAAGAATTGTCTAACCAACAAGAAGCCAACACTTGTCATAATGAGTCAATGTAGAATTCTCATCCTTTAGATTGAAACCAAACAAGCAAAGATAACAAACCTCTTAAGAAAACCAAGATTCAAATGCATTAAGTCTTCACAAAAAATTAGATAGAGTAACGGCTGTATACAGATAAATTCCCAATCACAGACAAAGCACATAATCAGAATAACCTGCACACAAAGAAAACAATCAACCCAATGTCTCGGGGTAAACCCCAAGAACTCCAGACTAAATAATAATAGAAGTCACCAAGGTCTCAA